GGCACCCACAGTGAGGGCCTGCGAGACAAGAGGAGATGGAGGTCGAAGAGAAAGAGAGGAGCAAAAGACGAAAAGGACAAGGAATGTTTGCTTTCGGATAAAAGCACAAGTAGACTCCCTAATTTTTTTAAATGTTATGTTTTTGGCTTTTCTGAATTGGCTGTTGATCCCTTCTGCAACGAACATTTTGTGCTAACTTCAGAAAGAATGTTGGCAGGGCTAGGGCAGGAAGGGCTGAAGCGCTAATGCTCAGATGGCCAGTGTTGCTCTTTCCAGGAGATGCCACAGTTGTAACCTCAGGGAGCTAGCCAGCAAGGATCCAGCCAGGCCACATGAATATGAGCCACACACGGATGGAGCAGGAGTACCTGACAGAAGTGAATTTACTAATCTGCAGAGGGTTTGTAATGAAGAAATTAGAAAGAGTGCAGTTAATTTCTTTTCCTGTTTCCCTGAAATGTAATACCTGCCAAGAAGTACAGATTAGAAGGTAAAGAAAACATCATTATTTCTTCTCTTGGTATATCTTTGGTGGTAGAGTAGAAGATCAAATATACTAACAAAGCATTTTCTAGAAGCTCCAGTCACCAAATGTCAATGGACAAACACCAGATATCCAAGGCTCAAAGTAGGACTTTCATTTGGAGATCCTAAATAGTAAGAACTACCTTAAAACTCAGTATGTGTTAAGGGGCCTCAATTCACCTCAGCCAATCAACTGGTTCTTTCTTTACTTGGAATTCCTGAAAAGTAGCCAAACGTGTACAGTGATACTTCATTGTCTTATGCCTTTAAATCATTGATGACAAAAACATTAATCATCAATGATAATTTTTTTACAAAAAGAATATCTTAAAAAAAACACTCTTCCTTCAACCTTGCAAAAATAAGTATTTGGACAGTACTTTTATTTTTATTTTTTGCTTCAGATTAAACCATATCAGCTTCATCATTAGGAAGAACTAATGTTTCTTATTTCATTATTTCTTTATGGCTGGCAGATCCTGTTCAGAAACTAAATTGCCAAATCCTTCCTTTGTCGTCAAAGTGGAATTAAAAGAAAGAAAAAAACTTTAAGAAAAATGATTGCCAACCACAAGAAAGCCAAATAAATCATGCTAGTCTGGTGTCATACTTCCTAACTTTGTCAGAAGATACAGGGTTTCTCCTGCTCCAATTTCCTTCCAGCTCTGTTTACTTGCAGACAGGAAACACTGGCTTCTCCGGACGCTGTCAGTCCCTCTGGCGACTTAGTCAAGGATGGTTTCATGACCCAGGCCACTTCATCCATCAGTGGGGTAATATCTGTTCAAATTCATCTTCCATACCTGACCTAAGACCCAGACTTTCGTAAGCTAGCAGCCAGCCCTTGAGTTTAAAGGTCAAGGGGACTGAAACAATTATCTAAGCTGTGGAACCAAAAGCTAGGAAAAGAACAGGAAGCAGAAATTTGCAAAATTACCAACTGAGGCCTAACTCCACTGAATATTTATCAAAATAAACACCAGGAGGGGCTGGGAAGATGGCTCAGTGGTAGAGCGCTTGCCTTGCATGCCTGAGGTCTTGGGTTCGATTCTTCAGCACCACAAAAGCAAAAAGAATAAAGCCGGAAGTGGCGCTGTGGCTCAAGTGGTAGAGCGCTTGCCTTGAGCCAAAGAGCTGAGGGACAGCACCCAGGCTCAGAGTTCAGGCCCCACGACCGGACCCAAACAAAAATAAAAATAAAAAATAAAAAAAATAAACACCAGGAAATGGAAACATGTTGCTGTTGTTTTTGTGGCTGGCAGTGGTGGAGGTATTCTTTGTTTTTGCTTTTTGTCTTTTTCTTGGGGGGTGTAGGGTTACAGAAATGGAGGGAAGAAGGATGAACAAAGACAGACATGGTAGTTAGTAAACACAAAGCAGAACTATGCAACTCGTTGGCCGGGACTAGAGAGAGAAACTGGGAGAAAACAGAGGAAGAGGTGACACTGTTCATTACCTGACTTAGGAAACCATAACTACTCTATACATCACATGATAAAAAACAATAAAATTACATTAAAAAATGCCCAACTGATCTCAAAGCCGTGAGACTGAGACTTAAGGTGTGCAGGCTCCGCAAACACACAGGGAAAACCACGGTGCTTCCCTCGTCCTGCTCAAGAGGACACTCAGACCTCTGCATCTCAGCATGCCTTCTTCACACCATTCCTCTTCTTCAGTGGCTCAAGATCATCATTTCTTTACTTTTCCATTGGGAACAAGGTGTGTCTAGGATACCAGCTAGAACAGCCTCTTCCCTCCACTCCCTACTGGGAACTCTTTGCCCCAGTTAGGGAAATCTTTAAACTATCTTCTATACCAGCCAGGTTCGACACATCTCATTGCTTTTGTCTTTAGCTACATTACCACATAATGCCAGAATCTTCCCCTTCCCTTCAGCTGTAAAGCTGTTAAGGTGGGATTGGAGAAATCGTTTCTATGAACAGCCCTGATAAGAACCTTCTATTCTTACATAGACCTAGTTAAGTGATTCAAGTGTACTTTCTTACCCAATCCCCCATGGTTCCTGGCTCTAATCTGCCAATGATACCAAAGACAGATACTTGTTTGCTAGCTGAGTGCATGCTGAAGTTCTGACAACGAATGTATCCTTTATGGAAGTTTTCCTCTTCTGCCTTTTAATTCTCACAAGGCCCGTCTGTCCCCCTGGTGGCTGACGATCCTCTGACAATGCCTAATCCCATTCCCATGCCCATGTCACCAGTTTTTAACCCTCAATTAATTGCTTGGCTTACATCCTGTCCTTTAAGGACAGTGGTAGAGGCCAAGCCTAAAAAATGAAGCAGTATAACACACTGGTCCCAAACATCGAATCAGATAAAGCCAGGCATGGTTTCTGGATTCGTCACTCAGTATGCATGATTGCTCAGAATGAGACCCAGTCTCTCCATGGCACAATGTCCTGTGCACCACATTAGTCTTATACCCTTACCACAATGTTGCTTTGCCACTGATTAAGCTGACCTATGTCAAGTTTGTAGTTTGGATATGAAATGTTCCCCTAAAAATGATGCATGTGTGAGAGGCTTGGTCCCAGCTGGTGGCACTGTTGGGGTCCTAATTCCATCAATGGATTTATCTATCAATGACTTCATAGCTATTAGGAAGTAGGGTCTAATTGGAGGAAGAAGATGATTAGGGACATACTTTTCAATGATATGTCTAGTCCTTGGCTCCTCTTGTCTCTTTTCAAATTTTACTATTACTGGGTGAACAGCCCCCTTCCACCACCCCGTCCTTCCCCATGATGTTCAGCTAGACCCCACTTCAAGTCCACAGCAATGGCTCTGTGGACCATGAACTTCAACTTCAGAAGCCCTGAGCAAAATCAATCATTATTCCTTTAGGGTGATTTGCATGGATGTTTGTCACAGTGATGGCAGTGACTCACAGCTCAATTAATGATCATTTTATTTCCTGTCTTTGTGTACTCAGATCTCTTTTCTGATTCTGGGGTAGGCTTAGCAGTCAGAGTAGGAGCTTTGAGATAGAACTCCATAGCTTGGTTCACAGCTGTGAGATCTGGGGAATGTTTCTTATGTCCTATGCCTTTTGTCTTCCCTATAAAGTGGAGGTGAACATAGTCCCCCTACCTCCTAACTATTCATGAAGATTAAATGGATTAACACATACAAAGAGCTTAGTAAACAATACTGCACGTGATGCCCGCAGTTCTCAGCTAATATGTAGCTGAGAGGGCATATTTTATATTTTACTATTCTTGGGTTCAAAAATGTGTTTATTGGGAAAAAACCAAAGAAACCAATGGAGAATTTAAAAAGTAAGTTCTCACTGGGCTCTGGTGATTCATACCTGAAATCTGAGTTACTCAGAAGGCTGAGATCTGAGGATCAAGGTTTGAAGTCAGCCAAGGCAGACAAATCCTCAAAACTCTTGTCACCAATTAACTACCAAAAAGCCAAAAGTGGAGCTGTGGCTCAAGTGGTTAGAGCATCAGCCTTGAGTGGAAAAGCACATGAGAGTATGAAGTCCTGGGTTCAAACCCCAGTAATGGAACATAGAGAGGGAGAGAGGGAGAAATACAGGGGGGGGGAGGGGGTAGGAGGAATGGGGAGACAGACAGAGAGAAAGAATTAAGTTCTGAAACGGACCAAATAGCAAGTGTTCCCAGAAGTCTTCTTCAAGTTCTACTATACAATAAGAACCTTCCAAAATCCCTTCATGAATTAGATGTAGTAACTTATAATGGAGCCTGACTACTATAATTCACCATCACATTTTGATGGTACATATTTATTATAGTAGATCATTGCTACCTAATCCCTGAAGGGATCCCTAACAACTGCTGGTTCTGTTTATTCTCTCACTGAGAGTGCCACCTTAGTGGTATTTCTTGAGTTTGGGGATAGCACTCTATTCAGCTGAATAATAGTTATTTAATCACTGAACACCATGTCAGAAGGAGCTCACGTCTTCTGGGAGAGGGGCTTCTACACACATGATTTCCATGAGTGTTGCTGGTGACACAGCACAGATAGCACCCAGGGACTTCTAAGTGCAAGAGGATAGAAGAAACTCAAGGCTTGGTACTGCAGTAGGATTTTTAGCTCCTTTGTTCTCAAATACCACAGAGTTTCTCCTGATAATAAATTGTATTGGGAGATGCTGGAGACATCATGGAATGAATTGGCCTCAGCTGATCCCCTAATTAGATTTTCCTGCTGAAGAATGTGTACCTGATACTCATTTTAAACCAGGACAAATATATTTTTTAATTCATTTCCTTCTCATGTTGACAAGATCATGTTATCAACAGATTCTTAGTCTAGAAAGTTTATCAGTTTATAAATAGAATTAAAAGTTATCAGAACCTGGAAACCTTTTTTTTGTTGTTGTTTAAAGTAAATTCTTAGTAGTTAGGTGTAGTGATATCTGACAGCAGAGTCACCATAAAGCAAGGACACAGAGGGATCCTTGTGGGGTCGGGTACTCACCTGATGGTAGGAGATGGGGACAGGCTTCCGGAAGACAATCCACTCCACAATTTCGCTGCAGGGAGGGGTGGTCAAGGAGCCAGTATACCGGTAGTAGCTGCTCAGAGAGGCAGGCAGGAGGTCCCGAAGGACAAAAGGATCCAAGAAGGTCTCCTTCTCTGTTTGGGAAGAGAAGAACACAATGGTGAGTCTATCACACCAGTCTCTAGCTTACAGATGCTGTGACTCAGCCTTGAGTGTCTGTACCTTGAGTAGCATGGGCAGCTGATGGTAGAAGGATGCCAGAAAACAAGGCAGCATTTCCCAGGATGTGTTCCCAATGCTAGCACTGGTCATGTTTCTTTTGTTGTTGTTGTTGTTGGTTTTGGGGCTTGAACTCAGGGCCTGAGTGTTTTCTCTGAGCTCTTTTGTTCAAGGCTAGGAGTCTACCACTTTGAGCCATAGCTCCACTTCCGGTTTTCTGGTGGTCAACTGGTGATGAGTCTCATGGCCTTTCCTACATGGGCTGGCTTTGAACTACTCAGATCTCAGCCTCCTGAGTATCTAGGATGACAGGTGTGAGCCACTGGCACCTGGCTCTGGCCTTGTTTCATAAAGGCCAGCTTCTAGGATGGTGAGCAACAGAGAATTCTTCCTTCACCCCAGGAAATAAAACATCCTACCGTGGTCTACTTCTCTGAGTAGTACTGCAGGGAAAAAACTGTCTAGATATTATGTACCCCACTTCTTCTCAGTCTTGTCTTACGATGGAATCCTTCTCTATTCACAAATCATGAATTGATCATAATGAGAAACTCCACCAATGAAGGAATAGCACAGGCCAAAAATGAAGGGCACTTTCAAATATGCATTTATGGTTTCACCCAAGGTCTAGCCAAGCATATCCCTTAACTTTAGTGATGATGGTCCTAAAAATGGAGATGTCTTTGCTTAAGGATCAACGACATCTGAGCTGACACCCACTGTGGACATATTACAATAGCTTTCAGAGGAAGGAGGCATGGCAGGAGTTAGTACCTACCTGGGGCCACACAGCTCCCCAAAAGCAAAGTGGGTATTATTAACGCAGGTATATATTGACTGACGACCACAACATAGTTTCTGACTAAAAAAGCTGAAGTCAGAAATTAGAAGACCCAGGAGCAAAAAAGGAAAAATAAAGTGAAGAAAAGCATTTTAGGTTGTGTGGACAATAACTGAGAAGTCCCAGAAGCAGAGAGGAATAGCTCAATAGTGATTAAGACACTGGCCTTACAAATCTCCCAAGTGGGCTCAGTAATCACCCCACATCCATCTCAAGAGTGGGTTCTTATTCCTTATGCCTTTAGAAACTTAGTTCTGAATTTAAGCCTGAGACTCTCCCTATCCCTGTTAAAGATGTCAATAGACTACTAAGAGTTGAGCTGGAAGTTTTCTTTGGCTATTTATGGCTTCCATTATGGCTCCTATGACAATTCCTGGAGGATCTAGGAGCTCCAACACATCTCATAGACATGTCTGGGCATGTCTTCCAAACTTGATGTCTTCTCTTTTCCCTTCAATCTTTCATACAAAACAACTATGCAGGCACCTGGGCACAAATGTACCCCCAGACTTACCAAGTCTATGGAACTGGGGAGCAGTGATGACCAACACTAGGATGATGAAAAGTATAACTTCCACTTAAAAGAGATCAATGGTGCCTAGTGCCAGTGGCACATACCTGTAATCCAAGCTACTCAGGAGGCTGAGATCTGAGGATCTCAGTTCAAAGCCAGATGAAGTGGGAACGTACCTGAGACTCTTATCAACAACTATTCACCAGAATAATTGGAAGTGGTGCTGTGGCTCAAGTGGTAAAGTGTTAGCCTTGAGCAAAAGAGCTCAGGGAGAACACCTAGGCCTAGAGTTCAAGCTCCACAACTGACCAAAAGCAGAATAAAAAAAAAAACAAAAACAAAAAACAGAGAAAAGAAGAGAGATCAGTGAGTGGAGCTAGATTCAGAGATTACCTGGATCTTCCTATATCTGCCAGGTACTATTTAGTTACCCTCTACGGACCAAGTTGGCCTTGGTTCTCCTGCCTGAACCTCCTTAGTGCTGAGATTATAAACATATACCACCATGCCCAGCTTGATTTCTTTCAAAGGAAAAATTAACTATTAACTAATAAATGAAAAAATTGTCAAATCATTGGGTTCGGCAATGAGAATTCCTGTTGGACAACAGGCTGGAACCAGCAGGGATGTAGGGTCTGGCTTTAATTGAAACCTAGTTACCAAGGCTTTGGGATGTGGGTGAGCTCTGTAAGCATGCTTGGCTGGGACTGGTTTGGCTGTAAGAAGGAAATATTTTGGCCTCTGTGAGGCTGCTTCCTGAGCCGTGTAAATAGCCAACACCAAGCCTGGAGTGATAGAAGGCGTGTAGGGAGTATGGTATCAGTAGCTGCCAAACCACCACCTACTCCTGCCTGCTGCTGGTGAACTTGATGGCAGACCCTTCATACCATCCTGGCTTAGGATCAAGGGCTCTAATCTAAACAAGGAGAAAAGGAAAAAAAAAACCCTGCAACTTTCTCCAGGGGCTTGATCCAACATCAGGGCTGTAACAAAGCCATCTCTGCCAGACATAAGCAGGAAAGCCTCCCAGCCCAGGCATGCATTCAGGAGGAGGTGATGGCTTTAAAGAGCACAGAAAGAGATAAAGCAGAAAGGTTGGCTTCACTGGTCGATGGGAATGTGAATTCAAGGGGAGCCTCAACACAGCTGGAGTAAGATTGGAAAAGAAGTTCCTGTGTGGACTTGTGAATTTGCAGGGACCCGTGGGGAGCCACAAGCGTGATCCTGGGTGATAGAATGACAGGAGCCTTTGTCTGTGTCCACTCAGGCCTCAGCTGCAGGGTCTGGCTCTCACTGGGGGTAGGCCTAGCTATGGGCTGGGAGGGGAGTGCCTGGCTTCCACACCCCTTCATTCCATCCCCGGTGACTGTGAAACTACAGCCAGACTGGGGAGGCGTGGAAGATCCTGTAGCTACCCTACTTAGTGAGGCTGGAAGCCAAAGAACCTCCCCCCCCACCCTCACCCCCCTCACTCCCCCCCTGGCAAAATCTTACACTGGGTCAGATTTACCCTGGGTAATCTCACCAACACCTCTGACAGTGAAATGTGCAGATGCTTTCTAACAAGTTGAGCTGGAGACTCAGAGTCACGTTGAAAACCATTAGGGTAGCTCATTAAGGTGAAGGGTGAAGTAACCAACCCAAGGTCAAAGGCTTGTCAAGGAATATCCAAACAACTTGAAAAAAATTTGTTTCTAAAAGTTAGTACACAGAGGTTTCAACACAGGGCCTTACGTTTGCTCAGTGGGTGCTCTACCACTTGATCCACCATCCCAGTTCGCTGTATTTTAGTTATTATTCAGATAGGGTCTTATGGTTTTGCTTGGGGTAGCACATGATCTCCTCATCTATTCCTCCTGATGGGCTAGGACAAGTGTCCAGATTTTGTGTGTGTGTGTGTGTGTGTGTGTGTGTGTGTGTGTGTGTGTGTGTGTGTAGGGGGTGGTGTCTTACAGACCTTTTGCTCTGCCCTCAAATCACAATCTTTATTTCAACTGCCTAAGTAGCTGAGGTTAGAGGTGTGAGCCCCTCCACATGGCTCAAGTGGAAGTTACTTCTTCACAGAATCCATAGAGGAACTGGAATAGAGCACCATGTTTGTTGGTCAGGACTCTTCACTAAGAAGGACACTTAACAAAGAAGGTCTAACCACAGTCCCTTTCCTGCACCCCACTTTTCTGTTCTAATGGGCCCTGGTAAATAGAGTGGATGTGCAACTTGTCTCTGCTTCAAACCCCAATCCTGCCACCTCCGAACAGCCTTTGCTTAGCCGGGAAGTAAACCTATGTAGCTCTGAGAAGATTAAATAAGCCAATCAGCAAACTGGCTGAGAAAGAATGATTGACATGTTCTTATCCTATTTATTCCTATGATTCCTTCAGACCATCCCAATCTAACCATCTACTTCTTTTCATTTTTGGCCCCCTGTCTTTTTAATTCTTTCTAATTTGATTCCTCATGCCTAAGGGCCACCAGAGTCTCCAGCTGTTTCATGGCCAAATCTGATATTTAACAGCTGTGTGACTTTAGGCAAGGATTTAACCTCTCTGAGCTATTACCATGATTTATAAAATGGCATTTATGGGACTATAGATACCCCTCAGGGTTGCTGCGACAGTTAGGAAGCGAATAAACGTGAGGGGTTTACCCCAGTGCCTGACCCATACATAAGCTCTGGTTTATCCGGGCAAGTACTGCGCCCAGAGCAATCAGCAAAGTTCCAGGCTGCCTCCTTCTGTGTTTTAAACCAAGGATTTGCAGACATTTTCTGCACAGCATCAGATAGTAAATATTTTCAGTTTTGCAGTCCAAGAGGCAAAAATCAAAGATGTTATATAGATACTTACATAACAAACCTACTTATTAAGGATACAGTATTCAACATTCTAGTAATAACTGAGTACAAGCTTTAAAATGTATGTCTATTAATGAGAAGAATATAGTTCTTTCTCAGGGTTATAGTTTCACTTAATGAGGGATCAGATGCAAACAAAGGCTCCTTAGTCCACTGGGCACACAAAATAGACAGTGGATGATCTGCCCCTCAGCTGTACTTTGCCCGTTTCTATTTTTTTGGGGGGGGGGCAGTTGTGGGGCTTGAACTCTGGGTCTAGGCTCTGTCTTTGAACTCTTCTGCTCAAGGCTGGTACTCTACCACTTTGAGCCACAGCGCCATTTCCAGTTTTCTGGTGGTTAATTGGAGATAAGCGTCTCACGGACTTTCCTGCCTGGGCTGGCTTTGAACCACAAGCCTCAGATCTCGGCTTCCTGACTAGCTAGGATTACAGGCCTGAGCCACCAGCTCCTGGCCACCCAGTTCTGTTTTACTACAAGCATGGGAAGGGATCTAAAGTAAAAAATCACCTAGATGGCGCACCAGCCATGGGTGAGGAGGCTGTGCTGCCTGCTCAGGGAGTTGCCATCACTGAAGAATCATTTGTTTTGTGAATAATACGGTAAAGAAGTCTGGTTTTGGGGGTGGGGGTGGGGTTTGAGACAGGATCTTACAGTGGCCCAGGCTGATCTCAAACACATGGCTCTCCTTCTTTAGTCTCCCAAGT